AAATATGAAATTTTAGGTCCTAAAACTTGTATTAAATAGGTTTGGTGTAGAAATATGTGTTGGAGAGGTTTGGGATGGATTTGGTTGGCTTAGGAATGGATTGAAAATGAAAAAGGGACGAAGACAAACTGTAAACAGTGCATTGCTGCAACTTCAAGCTCGATTTAGACCTTGATGCAGTTAATATCTCTCAAAACTCAAAACATGAAAGTTTTAGAGTTCTTTCGTATCATTCTACAACATCTTGAATCATCTCAATCAGAGCTTGAATGAGAGAGTTATGCTCAGATAACGAAACGATGTCAAAATAGTCCAACTAGTTTCATTTTGCATTTAATGTCTCTATTTGCATCCTAAATCAAAATATAAGAATAATGAGTACTTTTAGGCTTCAAATAAGTATAAAAGGCTTTAAGAAACACCCTTTATCACCTTTTATTTGCAAACATCGCAAAACTTCATTAATAGCCGATTCGGATGGGTAAAATAGAAACTTTAGTGTTTCGGGTGTACGTTGACTTGGGTTTTGAGATAAATCATAAAAATAAATGTTTTTAGGTTAAAATAACATTAAAATGAATCTGGAACGTCGACAAATCTTAGAGTAGTCATATGGATCAAATTAGAGATTTTTAGTGGCAAAATCGTAAATTTGGAGAAACCCAAAACAGCCTATGAACAGTATTTTTCGGGGCTGCTATGTTTTAAACTTGTTTTCATCTCATTTGCTCTCATTTCCTTCACTTCCCTCACACCCCCACATCTCTTGAAACCCTAGAGAGAATTAGAGAAGAAAAAAAAAAGGGAAAAACAAGAGATTCAAGGGTGATTTAAAGTCAAATATTTTTGTTCTTCATACCAAAGTTAAGGATTCAATGTAAGAGTTTTCTCTCATTCACTTACATTGAGGCTAGGGTATTTATATATGTATGTTTTGGCTATCAATGGTATATATATGTTATGAAATCATCCTCTCTTAGGCTTTTTGCAAGGATTACATGTTTTGAACAAAGTAGGGTTTAATACCCATGAAATCTTCTTTCTAGTTTTAAAACCCTAATTTTTGGAGAGTGATGTATTTCCTTCCTAAATGCTTTCTTTATTATAGATTTTGAAACTTTAATGCTTTGTGTTAGGTAGAAAAATGATGTTATTGTGATCTCGTGTATTTTCTTAGTTAGTTGTGAAATTGCTATATGATATATTTTAAGGATTTTGGATAGATGCTTGTAAATTGAGATAAATGTTAGAATTGTATGTTTGGTTGGGTTGTTTGTGATGCACATGAGTGAGAGGTTCCTTGTAAGGATGTTCATCCCTTCCCAAGAGATTCCCGGTAAAGATGCTTAAGAAATAATGTAGTGATTGGTGAGAGGTTCCATGTAAGGATGCTCATCCATTTTCAAGAAGTTTCATCTAAGGATGTTCATCCATTTTCAAGAGGTTCCCAGTAAGGATGCTTGAGAATCAAAGGTGATCTAAAGGGGGGTGGAGGTTACCACAAAGTATGCCACCTACCAAAAGAATTGTTGAAAATTGGTTATGATAATTAATGGTTATTATTTGTATGTGGTGCTCGTTTATTCATTTAAGTAATGTTTTAAATAAATTTGAGATCATTTTTAAATGTCACTGCTTTATTTCAAATTATGTATCTATGTTATGTTAAAATTGAGACCAATCGTTTTAAATATTTTTCTAAACCTTGTATCAGTTTGGGAGAATTTTTCTACAGAGTTTCGTGCTCACTCTCTATCGCTAACATTTTTCAGATTACCCGCTTGAAGAGGAGGACGTAAGGATCGAGGAGCCCGCTACTTGGGAGACTCCACTGGATAGGAGTGTGGATCCCGAGGTGGACGCATAAAGCGACCTCTTTTCCTTTTGTACTAGACTAGGACATTCTTTTTAAACATTGTGTAGTCTAGCTTCTTTTGTTTATTCCACTGCGCTTCTTTAATTAATTTTTGAGATGTAATAGTCATGACTTGGGCTTATTCTTTTGGATAATGTTGTAAATATTCATGGATGACAAATGAAGTCTTGTTTCTTAAGGGATTATTTTAGTGCTCTCATGATATAAATAGTTTTAGAATGTAATGCCGTCTAAGGTGTGTTTTGGGGCATTACAATATATTTGTTGAGTAAGAGGATACACGAGAGAGAGCAGATGAGAGAGAGAAGAAAGATCAAGAAAAAAAAACCAAATGTCATAAATCAAATTCGTAACCCATAAATCAATCAACATACTTCAAGATCTGAAGCCAGATGCCAAAAAAGAAAACCCACTATGTGTATGTTAAAACCAGATCTTAAACCCAGATGCAGGGGAGAAAAAAAGTCATCGTTGAAGGTTTGATACAGCACAGCGATCGTTGAAGCAGCATAGAGAGAGAGAGAGAAGAGATCATTGTAGAGAGAGAGAGACTGAGAGAGAAAAGATCATTGTAGAGAGAGAGAGAGGAGATGGAGAAAACATTTATGTGGAGGGATTTTATAGTTCAATGGAAAAAATATATTTTGCTGTTAAGAAAGTTTGATGGGTAGACCTCATTAAAAAGGAGGGGTTGCTTCCCTTGTTTTCTATTTTGACTTGAAAATTCAGAAAACATCATTTAGTTGTTCTCTATATTTTGTTCTCACTTCCCATTTTTTTTAAAAAAATTGTTTTTGAAAATTGCTAACCAAACAACATCTCGTAAAATTTTGTATTTTGAGAACAAAAAACAGTTTTAAAGACACTAACCAAACAGACCCTAAATTTCATATTAAGTTCCAAATATAAGTGTTCTTGGGATGGGATGGCTCCTATTAGCTCTCCTCCCTAAGAAATAATAAATGCATTCACTTCCAACTATACGTCCTTTGGGAATTGACACAATGATTTAATTTAATCTAAAATAAAAGAGTAATGCTAAATAAATTTAAAAAATAAACTTGATAATTACAATTATTAATTTTATTGTGGGTGTCAACATTTATTACGACCCATTATTTAATCAGTGGTCGTGATTATTAAATTTTCTTTTTAAGTTCATGTAACATTACTCAAAATAAAATTATAAACTCAAATGTTGTGGTTTCCTTGAATTTAATGTTAACAAATAAAATTGAATTTAAGGTTTACCATGTAAAATTAGATTTAATGTGACCCAACTTGAAGAATTCCCTTGTAGCTTGAAAAAGAACATTACATTAACCCTAAGAAGTAACTCAAGTAATAATAGGACGAGTTATAAATTCAGACATTCTGAACTCGAATCTTGACAACCCTTTGGAACCCTGGATAATAAGAAAATTTTTGGATTTTTTAGGTGTAGGTACAATTTTTTAAACTTATTTGAGCAAAAGTGTATGAATAAGTTATTTATTCTATTACATACAATTTTTATAAAAAATTTTGTGTTTAAGCACAAAATTCAAAATGAATTAAATTTTTTTTACCTAAACACCCTTCCTTAATTTATGCAATCATCATTGACAGTTATTTAAGGAAATAAATATGTAAAGATTAACAATAATAATGAGAGGTAAAATAAAAGTTTATAGAGAGCGAGAGAGAGAGAGAGAGAGAGAGAGAGAGAGAGAGAGAGAGAGCAAAAAAAGAGGTATTTCGTACTAGAAGATGAAGATGAAGATGAAGGAGTATGGGTATATATATATATATATGTCGTCCCATGCCACCAACTTTGCTTCCATGTCATCTGACCAAAATGCATAAAGTCTTTTACTATATATATATAAAAGAATCGGTTAAAATGTTTTGTTAGATATTATGTATTGTTCGTTATTGGGATGTAGGAAAAAAAGAACTTCTTTGTTTTTTTTAATGGGTTTATCTGTTTTTTAATGTGTGTAACTATTTTTTTAATTGGTGTAACTGTTTTTTAATGGGTGTAATTGTTTTTTTAATGGGTGTAACAATCACAATCTCATGCAATTGTTAAGGTATGATGGTGTAACGATGTCACAATACTAAATTGTGCAACTATTTAGTTTATGTAACCAAGTAAATGACAAATTGAGTTAATGTCATAATTTTGTGTAACTGTTTGGTTTATTAAAACGTAAGAATAACTGTTTGGTGTATTATATGACAATTATAACTGATTAGTGTAATTGTGTTGTTGTAATATTAATATAAATAGAGTAAGAGAAAATAGGGAGAGAGAGAGAGAGAGATAGAAATTGTTAGAAAAAATATGCAAAAGGGTTTTCATTCATATGCTGTTTACCGATGGCAATAGTGGCATTTTTAAAAAATATGTACTTTATCCTAAATATGTTTTTGACTTGTACTTTTATCCAAATAAGTCTAAAAAATTGTACCGACTTCTAAATTTTCCAAAAAAATTTTCTCATAAATTCAAAAGTCTTTGACCGAACCGAAATTAATAACCGACTCAAATAAGAAAAAGAACACTTCATTTGATAGATTTACTTTTCATTTTTCAACTATAGTATTGCAACTCCAACAACGTTGGAACTTGTAAAGAAAACTCTCTGTCTCCGCAACTAAATTCTACAGGCAAGTAACAAAATGAAATCTCTAGTTCATCATTACATTTTTGCAAACAATGGAAAATGGTAAGAGTAGACCGATGATCCTGAAAAATGGTCAATTCACCATTTTGAACCTTATAGAGAAGGATTTTTTGTCCCATCTCATTCTACCCATACCGCACTACTTTCCATAAGATTGACTGGGAGAGACTATGTTAAGTACTGATTATCCTGTAAACCAGAATACAAAAACGAAGGGTGGCTTGCGAAAATCATTTTGAAACAAATATACACATTTTTCTGCTCAAGTTATTCGGGGATGACACTAGTACTACTGGTCTACTACACACTACTATTGATCGCCACTGCTCTTATCAAACAAACAAAAAAGAAGAGCCACATGGACATGCTAATGGTTACACTTACACCGATCGAACACCAATTCTCACCACGAAGCATTCTCAAAACCTTTCCATGCGGAGAATCAGGATCACCCCTCATTGCGTTCTGTCTCCAAATCTCTGAGCTCTGTATAATGCCTCCTCGGCCGTATCAAGCTGCTCCGGCCTCCACACAATCACACCACCACCACCACCTTCAACATCATAATAACTATCCTCCACAGTTCCGTCAGTAGCTCTTGTTATAGACTTTCTTGTATCAACCATCTTCACTTCAAACAAAGGCGACGGCTTGTGGTGCTTGAAATATTCTTCATCATATTCTTCTTGTTCTTTTCTTTCCTTCCTTCTGTCAATTGTGTGCCCTGGCCATGGCATTCCATCCAACCCTGCGCAGTTTACTGCTTCTATCCGCGGTGGTGGTGGTGCTGCCGTAGTAGCTGCGGTGGTGGAAGTGGAACTCTGGCGTTTTTGTTGGGTGGTGGGATCGATGGGCGGGCTCACACCAGTACTTTCTAGCTTTGGGGATGGTGGATATGCTGGTTTTGGGGGCACCAATGGTTCTTTTTCTATACTGGGCTTGTTCTCTTTCTGGCTGGCTGCTATTATCGTTTCATCATCGTTTATGCCCTGTAANGTGGAACTCTGGCGTTTTTGTTGGGTGGTGGGATCGATGGGCGGGCTCACACCAGTACTTTATAGCTTTGGGGATGGTGGATATGGTGGTTTTGGGGGCACCAATGGTTCTTTTTCTATACTGGGCTTGTTTCTCTTTCTGGCTGGCTGCCATTAACGTTTCATCATCGTTTATGCCCTGTAACCCGAGAGAAATTAATTATCAATTTATTTGTTGATAAATTCTTAGGACTGCTTATATAAGAACTGTTTCATGTTCGATTCAATCATGCCCAAGTCCGTGTTATACCAAAGTTTATCCTAACTATACATGTCTTCGTCCCATTATAGTGTATGATCTAGTTTTTTCCATAATATGAATCATGTTTAGAGATTTGATGTGATATTTAACTCATTCCCGTCAAATAATTATTTAGAATAAATTACATATATAACCCTTGTGTCAATTAAAATTACTGAATTTTTTTATATCAATTGAGTCTTTAAACCCTCTAATTATATCAATTGAATCACTCTTTATCAGATTTTTTAATAAAAAAAATGACAAAATGTGTTACTCTCATGACACAAATAGTTGAAATAAACTATACGCATGATCCTGAAACTACNTCCCGTCAAATAATTATTTAGAATAAATTACATATATAACCCTTGTGTCAATTAAAATTACTGAATTTTTTTGTATCAATTGAGTTTTTGAACCCTCTAATTATATCAATTGAATCACTCTTTATCAGATTTTTTAATTAAAAAATGACAAAATGTGTTACTCTCATGACACAAATAGTTGAAATAAACTATACACATGATCCTCAAACTATAACACTCCTGTCAATCTCTCGAACAGTCAATTGAATTTTTGAACTCTCTAATTGTATCAATTTTTTTGAAATTATTGTATCTTTTTCTTCAACAAAATCACGTGAGTGACATATTAAAAGATAAACAAAATGACTCAATTGATATAAAAAAAAAAATCAAAGTTATCATAATTTGATGGTCATATATATATATATATATATATAGTTTACTCAATTATTTATTTAGGAGTAAAATGATTTCANCTCACCTTTTCTTCCAGATCCGTCATCACTATCGCAGCTTTTGGAAGTTTAATAAGCACCAGGACAAGTAAAGTATTGGTGGGTTTGATGATCAAGCACTTAATGACGACACATTTCAAAGCCCCAATCAATTCATGAGCAGAGCATAGCAGAGCAGAGAAAGAGAAGAAAGAGTGAAACAGAGACCGCTTGAAGCAAATCAAAGCGGAACAGGTTTACCAATCGTACTCAGAGAGAGAGAGAGAGAGAGANCAAATAGTTGAAATAAACTATACGCATGATCCTCAAACTATAACACTCCTGTCAATCTCTCGAACAGTCAATTGAATTTTTGAACTCTCTAATTGTATCAATTTTTTTGAAATTATTGTATCTTTTTCTTCAACAAAATCACGTGAGTGACATATTAAAAAATAAACAAAATGACTCAATTGATATAAAAAAAAAAAAATCAAAGTTATCATAATTTGATGGTCATATATATATATATATATATATATATATAGTTTACTCAATTATTTATTTAGGAATAAAATGATTTCTCCCATTTATGACTTAAAAGGTTAAAACAAAACTTATAAAATTTTATGTCAATTTCGTGTTAGATTCGATACTTAAAACTGTTGGCGAATTGAAAACCAAGAATAGTTTATGCGAGTTAAATTATAGGGCTTACAGGGTCTTGTTCGGAGTGAACGGCGGGATCAGCAGTGCGGCCGGTTGAGGCAGAGGCAAGTTTTCGAGGCCGAAGTTGCTTGAAGAAGACTCTATTAAACCTTCTCGTCGTGGCGGCTAATGTCGACTGCGTTGTTTTTTTTTTTTTTTTTTTTTTTTTGGTCGGGTACTTTTTCCCTCAATCTCTTCGAATTCTATGCTGCAGCTGGGTCTATTCGAAAAGAAACACAGACTGAATTGAGAAGATCAGGTACTGTTGATGTTCCCAAATAAAAAAAAGTGTATCTGTTGATACAGCTACGTGTAAATTTCTCTTTACGTGGCAGTAATTTCTAGTGCTTGCTAGACTCTGCGTGTCATCCTCTTGGCCCCTTTTTTGCCTTGCGTGTCGTGTTTAGAAGTGTGTAGAAGAATAAGGAAAGAGTAGTCCAAGCGATCAATACTACTTTCTAGTTTCCACTCTATATGATTATTGGTTATGGACGTCATACCCTTGTTATTAATTCAATGGTAACAAAAGTTGTATTTCGCAAATGGGATTTGATCTTCCCACCACTCCAAACAGTCAATGAATGATTACACAAAACACAAGCTATCTGATATGGAATGAATGAAATCTACACGACACTCTCAACAAGAACAAATCATCTGTGTTAGTGCTTACATTGATTCCAGAAATATTAATCCATCACTTTTAATCAACTTTCTGATTTTCCAGTAAAATACAGGAGAGATTGATTGGGTTAATAAACAAGAAAATGTAAACCGATTTAAAGGTCTCACTGACATACATAACATATATTGGTTAGAGCTTCTCAATCTTCTCCTTTTTTTTTTGGTTTCTAAGCATAGACAGATCCACAAGAGAGAGCCATCAGCAGTATAGCCGCGTGTTCTTCCTCTTTTAATTTGATCATATGCTTTGCTGATCTCTGCAACACCATCTCTGTTCCCAATGCCATCAATCTCATCTTCAGCGATTGTTCCATTTCACTTCTATTCCTCTTATCGCCACTCTTGTTATTGTTCTTCTTCGTCTTCTTCGTATCCTTCTTTGATCTTCCCCTGCTCAGACCCAGAAGTTCCCTCCTCTTCTTATTGTATTTGATTCCACACGCATTACACAGTGACTGAAAACAGAGTGAAAAGACCAAGAAATCAGAATCAAAAGAGACCCAACAAAGAGGTTGAGATTGTGATGAATATTGCGGCTGGCTTACCTTGGGACCAGCTGGGCCTCCTCTCCAAAGGGGTGTTCTCGTTGTGTGACAATCACTACAGCTTTTCGTCTGGCTTTGTGGAGTAGTGTTATTTAGATGCTCGAACTGTGATCTCTGTACCACAAAGTGAGAAAAGATTCGCCACCCATCACCAACTGATTCAGATCAATATCCAAAGTTAAAGCGTACTACCCATCAAAGAGATGATGAAAACGATTCACTCACCTTTTCTTCCAGATCCGTCATCACTATCGCAGCTTTTGGAAGTTTAATAAGCTCCAGTAAAGTATTGGTGGGTTTGATGATCAAGCACTTAATGACGACACATTTCAAAGCCCCAATCAATTCATGAGCAGAGCAGAGCAGAGCAGAGAAAGAGAAGAAAGAGTGAAACAGAGACCGCTTGAAGCAAATCAAAGCGGAACAGGTTTACCAATCGTACTCAGAGAGAGAGAGAGAGAGAGAGATCAGGGTTAATGAGTAATGAAGGGTCGAGGTTTGAACTTGGTGTTTGAGGGCTATCCATCTAAATAAAGGGACGGAGAGAGGAACTGTGGAAGTGAAACAGGGGATCCGTGGACACTGATTAGCCGGACACGAAACCCTAGCCAATGCAATGACCAAGATACCCCTATGATTACGACTCACTATACTCTTTCTATTTTCGTTGATGTGCTTTCTTAATTATTTGTAAGGAGAATCGCAATTTGCATTCTGTATAATTTATGAATTTTTATTTTATTTTTTCAAATATTTATTTTTATACATTATATTTTTTATGTATTAAAAATATTATAATATAACTCTTCTATTAAATTCTATTATTTGTTTTGGTCAGTATCAATGATAAGATTTTTGATCAAAAATATAACAGAAACTAAAAAATAATACACTAACATTTTTAATACCTTGAAAATAAAAATATAAAAATAAAAAGCACAATTTGCCTTCTTTTTATTTGTTCCTTGTTGGGTCCTCAAATTGAGGGCCCCGCAAGTCAGGTCCCATTCCAATTTCATTGATGAGGTAAATAAGGTGAGATTGGCATTTAGATTCTGAATATTACTATTAAAGGCAAGTCTTATTTTGATTTGATAGTCCTGAGAAGAGTTCCCCAAAAAGAGTTCCCCAAAAGACTTCATATGACAAATTCATGACGGGTATACTTCAATTTTTTTTCTTGTAGAATCAATTTGAAAAAAAAACATTAAGCACTCCCATATTCCCTAAATTTTGGGGGTTAGGATTTAAGTCAAATTTTAATATACTAAATATTTCATGTGCCTAAAGGCACATAGTAGTAAAAAAATATTGGTCAACAATAAACATATATTGTATTCACGGCTAAAATTAAATCTCAAATATAGAGAAAAGAGAGCAAAATTTATGTATCGGTTGTAGTGGTGGTGGTGGTGAGAGACAGTGATAGTTGTGGTGGGTGGCGACAACCATGATGATGGTAGCAACCGTGGATTTTGACTGACGATAGTGGTGGTGGTGATAGGTTTTGGGTGACGATGGTGGTAGTGGCAGTCATGGATGATTGTGATAGTGGTGATGGGTGTGGGTGATGGTGGTTGACAGTGACAATAGTGGTTGTGCTGGGTTATGGTGCTGGACGGTGACGATGGTGGTGATGGGCGACGATGGGTGTTTTCTGAGCGACAGTGTGATGGGTGATAGTAAATGCGGTGGTAATGATTATAGGTGTGATGGGGCCGAGTGACAATGGTTGGTGGCGATAGTGAGCGATGACAAGTGGTGGGTGCTAACGGTGGACAACAGTGGTAGTTAGATGATAGTGATAGTGACAATAAATATAAGAATGAGATGGTAATGATGGTGGATAGTGGCGGTAGACGACGATGGTAGGTGGCAATGGTGATGACGGTGGCGAGGCAGTGACTATGGTAGTGAGGGTGGCGGTGGTGGTGGGGTGGCGACGATGGTAGTGGTGATGGTGATGATAAGACAATAACGGTGGTGATAGGGTGGCAGTAGAAATGGTGGTGGTGTTGGTGGTTGTTATATGGCAAAGGTGGTGGTGGTGGGGTGGCGGCAACAACGATAGTGGTGGGGCGGTTCTAAACACTTTTTTTTTTAAAATATTTATAAGAAGNGGCGACGATGGTAGTGGTGATGGTGATGATAAGACAATAACGGTGGTGATAGGGTGGCAGTAGAAATGGTGGTGGTGTTGGTGGTTGTTATATGGCAAAGGTGGTGGTGGTGGGGTGGCGGCAACAACGATAGTGGTGGGGCGGTTCTAAACACTTTTTTTTTTAAAATATTTATAAGAAGTTATAAGTTCTAAAAGCACTTTTAAAAAATCGTTCAAACACACCCTTAGAGTTTTGTTTCCCTATTAAATTTTAGTGTTAATATTAACCGTCGAATTAACTTTAAAGTAAAATTTAAAGAGATCACAACTGAAAAAAGTAAAAATTATTTTATTTATCTTTTAATATTTANTTCAAACACACCCTTAGAGTTTTGTTTCCCTATTAAATTTTAGTGTTAATATTAACCATCGAATTAACTTTAAAGTAAAATTTAAAAAGATCACAACTGAAAAAAGTAAAAATTATTTTATTTATCTTTTAATATTTAAATTGTATTATATTTTATTATATAGATTTATTTTTGTCAAAATCAACGGTACGATGAAATTTTTGTGGCCAATGATATGAATATATCATTTTTTGTAACTCGTGCCAGGACATTACAAATATATCTTGATTAGACCATACAAATAATGCGACTTATTATCAATAGTATCCTCATTAATCATCTAAATGCTTAGGATGAAAATTAATTAGACCATCCAAATAAAAATTTTGTTTATCATGGAAATGAAACACGAGGTTGTATTTACAACCCCCTTCTCCAAAAAAAAAAAAAAAAAAAGGGGGCACAAAAACTATTGAAAAGCCTGAAACTCTTTCTGATATAGATATATGCATAAAATTTATCCTTAAAAGTTGGATTGTAAAGAAATAGTGTTTAAGAGTTCATATAAACACATCTACAACATTCTACTCTTATTTTTAGTCAACGTGGGATCGTAATATTCTACCACACTTCCGTAATTATCATCCACGATGGTCTATTCTATCGACATTAACTTAAACGGTATCCCTTTATCTTTAGCGACTCCATTCATCTCTTAGTGTTTAATGGATAGCATTACGTCCATACATAATATCAAGTCATCAAGCCTAGTATAGAGGTCACTCATTTCATAACTCGACCACAGAAAGTTGCACCTCATACTGCATTCAATGCTATACTCGACTTGGTAGCTAATTTTGATATTAATTGTTATGAATACATTGATAAAACTTGCTCATGAAAACCAACTTGCAAGGAAACGATGCCTAAGAGTCCATTTATAGAATTCAAATAGGAGAGAAGTTCTATCCAAGTCTACCCCAACCGAAGTCTTGCAAGTCCATCTCTGATAAGAATAGCAAACTACAAATATTTTTCTTCGAAAGATCCTGAAAGTCATCTTCAAACCGATATTACATAAAATGGTGAGAAAATCTACCACAATTCAATATCAAATTGAAGAAACTAAAA